ACTATCTCTTCTCCTGTCCATTCCCAGACCTTTCCAAAAGCTCTAGTACAGAGCTGCCCAGTAAAACTTTGTTATGATAGAAATGCTCTATTCTGGGTTGCCAATATGGTAGCCACTAATCACATATGGTTGACTGCTAACCAGAAGGCTAACATATGGCTCTGTTGTTGTTGTTGTTATGTGCCATCAAGTCAGACCTGACTCATAGTGACCCCCTCCTTGGGTTTCCGAGGCAGTGTCACTATGGAAGTAGATCGCCCCACCTTCCTTCCAAGGAGTGGCTGGTGGGTTTGAACCGCCAGCCTTCTGGTTAGCAGTCAAGTGCCTTAGGCACTATGCTACCACAACTCCTACATATGGCCCTAGAGCACATGAAATGTGGCCACTGAGGAGTTTAATTTCAATTTTTACTTAATTTTAAGTAAGGTAAATATAAATTACCATGTATTAGACAGTGCAGCTCTAGGGCTAAAAGAAGACAGCAAAAATGGAACAACTGCACCTTAATTTGGGGCTTCAAAAGCACTTTCAAAAGCATCTTCCTATTTGTCTGTTCTGTGAAATAGGTGTATTTACCCCTATTTTACAGAGGAAAAATCTGAGGCTCTGAGAAGTTAAAGGACTTCCAAGTTGACAAAGCTGGTAGATAGTATAGACATAATTTAACACCAGATCTCTTGATTCCAAAACTCCACTCATATCTCTAGACCATTCTGCCCACTTATGTGTTGTGAATATGGTCACTGATACGTTAAGTGGATTCTGACTCATAATGACACTATAGGCGTTCCTAGGCTGTAATCTTTATGGGAGCATGTTCAAGCAAACCCACTCCCAGTACCATATTCTGTTTTGGTTACCTAGTGCCGCTCTGACAAGAATATACCACAAATGGGATGGCTTTAACAAATAGGAGTTTATTCTCTCACAGTTTGGAGGCTTTAAGTCTGAGTTCAAAGTGCCAGGCTCTAGGGGCTGGGTGAAAGCCCCTCAATGTTGGGCTTCAGTCCTGCCTCCTGCTCCGGGCCTACTGAAGCTAGAGGCTTTTCTTCACTCAGCTGCTGGCTGCTGAGGCTGACAAGCCTGAGGTTGACAAGTAATAAGGCACAGTCCCAATGTTACCAAACCATATGGCAGGCCATTAATTCAAGTCCATTGAAAGTCCCAAGGTCGGCAGAGCATAACAGGCTGCTGAAAAATGACTCAGCTGTATGCAGGGTTCAAGCTTGCCATAAACTACAGACTGTTCCCCAAGGGTTCTCCTTATGTACAAGAAGCACACCACATCTCTAAAGCAGCTACTCAGCTGCTCACAGTAGATTCCACCATGGAGGTGATTATCAGTCTCATCATGGGGAATACTACATCCAGCTGCGCAGCCACTCAACCAGGCCCAGCCAAGCTGACACACAGACTTAACTACCACAGAGCAGTTCACCAGGCCTTTTATCTTGAAGAGCCACTGAGTGGGTTCAAACCACTGATCTTTCCATGAGCTGCCAGGCATAACCATTGCGCCACTAGGGCAAAAAACCAAACCCACTGCCATCTCGTTGATTCCAACTTACAGCAATTCCCATTGGGTTTCTGAGGCAGTAAATCTTTATAGAAGTAGATTGCCCCATCTTTTTTTTTAATGCATTTTATTGAAATATAATTTATGTACAGTGAAATACACAAACCTAAAGTGACATGGGTCAATGTATTTTTTTGTTTTATTTTGTTTTTTGCAGTGTTCCCTCTCCTTACCTCCCACCCCTGGCAACCAACAAAGAAAGTTTCTCTCCATATATAAACCTTTCTTTGACCCTCCACAACAACGAACTACTACTTTATTTGTCCTTCTGTGATTGACTTATTTCACTCAGCATGATGTCCTCCAAGTTCATCCATCATTGTGTCTATTTCTTTGTTCCATATAATTTTCTATGCTGAGCTCATTTTGTTTATGAATCATGTTATCACTTCCTTCATTGCTATTGTTTTAGTAGTGGCTGAATATTTATGCTGGTCCTCTTTTATTTTGATGTGAAGGTTTATCATTTTTCTTTGCGGTTACCCTGTGATTTATAGTTTTCTTCCCAAGTTTAGAACAGTCCATTCTATCTTGTAGTTGTCTTGACTTCCCTATCATCTAGAAGTTCTGTAATGACACAGATTTTTTTCCCTCTTTTTGGTTTGTAGTTGTCCTCATTTGTCTGTTGGTGTCTCTGGTTCCCTGTATACAATCTTGTAGGCTTATTTACTTTGGATACATCCATAGCTGGGTTGGTTTCTGGGTTATATCATCATGTGTGTTAATGGTCAGTTGTTGTTGGCTATTGTTGCTTCTCTGTCCAAAGGGCTCCCTATTCAACATCTCCACTTAATTATCAAGTTGGTTTCTCAAGCTTAACTAGTTCACAACTGAACTTTTAATTCCTCCCCATTCACACCAAACCAAAACCCTGTGGCCATTGAGTCAATTCTGACTCATAATGACCCTATAGGACGGACTAGAACTGCCACATAGGATTTCCAAGAATATAATCTTTACAGAAAGAGATTGCCACAGGTTTCTTCTGTGGATCAGCTGGTGGGTTCAAACTGCCGACCTTTTGGTTAGTAGCCAAGCACTTAACCAGTATACTTTTACCCCAAACCTGCTTCTCCTGCTCTCAGTAAACAGAATTCCATTCTTATAGTTACTCCACCCCAAAACGTAGGTGTCATGACTCCTCTGGTTTTCATACCTCTCATCTGATTTATTAGCAAATATTGTTAGCTCTCCTTCAAAGAACATCCAGATTTCTCACCACATCCACTACTGCCACTGTAGTCTAGCATCATCAGATCTAACTAGACTGTTGTAATAGTCTCCAGAGTAAAGTAATCTTTGCCGTCCTCACCCCATTCTGTTTTTCATACAGTAGCTAAAGTGATCTTTTAAAAAATTAAGTCTGAGCATGTCTCCTCTCAGTTTAAGCTCCTCAATGGGTTCTCAAAGTCCTTATAGGAGTGTTTAAGGCCCTATAAGAGCTGCTCCTTGATAGTTCTCTGATCTTGTTTCTTACCACTTTTCTCTTTGCTGGTTCAGATCAGCCACACCAGGTCTTCCTGGTAATTTCTCAAGGTAATTGCACAGTTCACTCTCTTACTTCCTTTGGGTTTGATCAAATGTCCCTTTATCACAGGGCACTCCCCATTCCCTTATCATGTTTCAATTTTCCTCATAACATTTATCACCTGATTCACCTCCTGACATTTAATATGTTTGCTGTTGTGGCTCTCCTCCCACAGGAGTGTAAACTGCAGGAATAGGGTTGGTGGAGAAAACACAGGATGTCCATTTAATTTAAATATTAGATAAACAACAAATAACTCTTTAATATATACCCCCAAATATTTCATGACACCTAATGAGGAAAAAAAAAAAAGTTCGTTGTTTATCTGAAATTCAAACTTTACTGCTATGTCTTTTATTTTGCTTTATCTTGTAACCCTATGCAGAAAGGCAAGGACAGAGGTTGTTTCGTTCATTGCTGTACCCCAAGAGCTAGAAATAGCTTCTGGTACATGATAAGCTCTCTATAAACATTTATGGAATGAAGAAATGTGTACAGTATTTCATTAATTGTAACCAAAACCACCAAACTCACTGCCGTGGAATCGGATCCGACTCATAGCGACCCCTCCTTGGGTTCCCGAGGCGTATCACTACGGAAGCAGATTGCCCAACCTTCCTTCCGAGGAGTGGCTGGTGTCATTAATTGTAAACATACCTAAACTTTTAATAAACACTTTGAGTCAGAGGGGTGGAGCCTCTAGCCTGGGTTAGTCCGGCTCACAACTAATGCAGCAACGAACTTCCGAAGCTGGCCACACCACTGGATGTTTTGCCTACTCCACCTACGCTCCTGGAACAAAACTCCACCTCTGCTCAGAGAAGCTTCGGGTCCTGGGTGGCCCTCCTGGGTGGCCTACTCTAACCCGCGAGCCGGGCCCAGACCTCACCAGAACCAGGGCCCCTTTAATGCCCCGCCACCTCCCTGACACTAGCGTACCCACGAGTGACGTCACACCAGCGGGAGACCAATAGAAGCACGCCTTACTGGCAGGCGGCGCCGGCGGCTGCTGCCAAGGGGGAAGTAAACTGGGGTTGGAGCGATGGCCCGGGTCAGGAGCCCGCGGCCGCCGCTGCCGCCACCAGCGCATCCGGAGCACCCGCGGCCTGAGCCGGGGCGGGGGCCGGAGTCGCGGCTGGAGTGGGAAGGCAGCTCCGTGTGAGTTGCCAAGAGTCGCCAGTGTCGGAACACCTCAAACTCTGGGCGGGAGCGCTTCAGGTGGGCTGAGCGGGGGTCGCGCCTCAGTGCCGCGCCTGCCAGACTCAGGCAGCAGGACTGGGTCTCCTTGAGCGCGGTGGCTCCCCTCAGGCAAGGCCTTCGAGCTTGGCTCTGGGTCTTCCTGTCGCTGGCTTTCTTCAGACTCGACACCGGGGCCGGAGGACAGTGATCATCCCGGAGAAGGTCTTCCTGGCTCGGGCATTTTCTCGGCGCCCAGGGCTGTGTCGGGCTGGCAGGGTGTAGGAGTCCCCTCCTGCTGCCACTTGTCTAGCTAGAGAGGGGTAGCGCGGTCTCACTGCCTCGCTCTGCACTCCTCTCTCTATCCATTCAAAAACAAGTTTGTTTTTTCTCTCGATTGGAAATCCTGCCCTGGAGATCCAAAACATCCATCTATGTGCACTTCCCCAACTCCTGGAGTAACCTTAGAATTATTACCTACTTACCAGGGTTGAGAATCATTCGTGATTTGGTTTTTTGCTTCCTTTGGAAGATAGAGTTGCCTTTTTTCCCAGCCTTTTAACTAACTGATCCAGGGCCTTATCCGTTTGGATCACCAGCTCCCTGGCTACCTCTCTGTGACTTCCCCCATCCATTTGAGTTCCAGTTTCCTCTGGGCTCCAGTCTTTAGCCCCCAGCTGATCTGGTCAGTCCCACCTGTGGGTGGGAGTGACTAGGGGGCTCCAGCCCAGAATTCCCCACCCTGGAAGGCAGCTCCAAGGCAGCCAGAGAATTGGGCATTGGGTACGAACCTGGCAGCTCAGGAGTGGGTGCTCCACTCACCCCACACAAGAAGATGAAAAAGCGCAAAGAGCTCAATGCATTAATAGGACTGGCTGGGGACAGCAGAAGAAAGAAGCCCAAGAAAGGCTCAGGCCACCGCCTGCTTCGCACTGAGCCACCTGATTCAGACTCTGAGTCCAGCTCTGAGGAAGAAGAGGAATTCGATGTAGTCGGAAATCGCTCTCGTTTTGTCAAGTGAGTGATGCATTGAGGGATAGGATGGGATGGGAAAAAGACATCCTGTTGCAGTACCAAGGGACAAATTTAAGGGAACAAAAACAGATACAGACCTTGGAAGGCAGAGTGAGAAAATTTGTTAGGTAGAAGACAAGTAAGATCCTAGATAAAGGATAAGTTAAGGATCTGTCTGTAAGTATGAAATAGTTGTTCAGAATCTATGGTGGAAGTGTTGACTTGCAAAGAGCACAGTGAGACCAAAGTAAGAGTAAAAGACATTACTCTAAGAACAGGGACATAGGAGCAGAAGAGCTTTGGTGGTTAGGTCTCTTGAAAAAATGAGCCCTTCAGACTACAAATTACTTATTTTTTGCACTGTTAATGAATTAGAATCTTGGTGATGGAAAATAAGGTGTGGGACATACTGTTAGAAATATGAGCCTTGAGAATAGATGGAGGATGAGGACAATAGGTTGTTGTTGTTATGTGCCCTCGAGTCTGCCCCCGACTCATAGCGACCCCTCCTTGGGTTTCCGAGGCAGTATCACTACGGAAGTAGGATTGCCCAACCTTCCTTCTGAGGAGTGGCTGGTGGGTTTGAACCAAAGAAGAAGAGCCAGCTATTTCCAAAAACACTTTTAGATGGCGTGGCCACTGGACAGGTTAAATAGTAGTGGGCTTTGAGGACGCTGGGAATTGGGGTTCAGGGTGTGAAAGGGCTGAAAGGAACCTTGAAGGTGCCCTTGGACTCCTCAGGAAGCACACTAAAAAAAAAAAGAAAGGGGTTCTGCTGAGGATATGGAAGATAGACTAGGATATGGATGATAGACTAGGATATGGATATGGACTAGGTAGATGGTTGGGGTACTAACATCCTTTGTTTGAGGTTTTTTTTTTGTTTGTTTGTTTAGATTGGCCTTTTATTTTGTTAAGTGAAGAGTTTGCTTTAAAGAGTTCTGTCAAATTAGGTAGTTAAGGACTATCTGAGTTTGGAGTGTGAAAGTCTGATGAAACACTAATCCTGAAAGTTATCCTGCTGGGTTAGTTCAGACCTTGAGTGCTGTGTTCCTTTCCTTCGGAGCCAATAAGCTAGAGAGCACCAGATGTCCACTTAAACTGACCGACCTTATTTCTTTCATTCATTTGTAGTAAAACTTGCTCAAAAGTTTGTGAAGTTTCAGTAAACTGAGACAGAGTTCCCTGGAGTGAGAGAGTGTATATTTGAGAGGGTAGAATGGATAGATAGATAAATTATATTATAGAGAAGCACTGGTCTGTACACTTAACTTGTTTGTATCCAAAGACCTCCCTCCTGTATCGATGATGGCTGTGAGCTGCAGTACCACAGTGCTTCCTGCAGCCCATAGGAACTCCTTTTACATGTGAACTTTGAAACCTTTGTACCCAATAGGTAAACTCTTTATAAGTCGTATTTAGTCATTTTTAATCTGCAGTTCAGACTTAAGTACATTACCCTATGTCCCTAGGTAAAGTTACAAAGAATAATTGTATGGCAAGATATGTATACTATTTCTAATAAAACTACACTTGTAATCGTGTTTGTACTCATAGTTGAATTTGTTCCTACGATCAGGGGAGATTATTTACGATGCTGCAAGATCTGTTATCCCCTCTGTGCTTTTGTCATCCTCGCGGCCTGTGTCGTGGCCTGTGTTGGTTTGGTGTGGATGCAGGTTGCTCTCAAGGAAGATCTGGATGCCCTCAAGGAAAAATTTAGAACAAGTAAGTGGTTACCCTTTTCAGAATGTAATCTTGGAGTCTTTTCCAGATTCTAGGACAAATGGATGATCATATTGAATTAAGTAAGCATTTTGCCTGCTCTGTTGAAAGAATTGTACATTTTTTTTATACTCATTCTTAGTTGCTAGTTTGAATGCTGTAACAGTTATTTATTTTTAAACCCACAGACAAAAAGCAGTGCTTTTGCACCATCAGAAAAAGTCGTACCTGAAATCCTGGTGTTGAAATCAATGCTTAGTGTGCAAAAGGGAGAGCTGTGGTCCAGGGGTCCAGAGCCTTGGTTAACCTCCACCTGTGGCCTCAACTTCCCCAAATATAAAATGCCAGTGGCAACATTAGGTTGTTTACTTTTACTCCCCAGGGCCACTTGAGAAAGAAGGTGGACTTGTGTGTCAAATGATTTCTTCCTTAAGAAAAGCAGTATAGGAACATAGAAATGGTAAATGATAATGAATAGCCAATGTTTATGGAGTGTTTAGTGTGTGCCAAGTCCCAAAAATCATTTTATCCCCAAAACAGTGCTGTGAGATGGGTATTATTATTATTATTGTGCAATTAAGAGAAAACAAAAGGATTAGCTAACTTGTTCAGTGATTAAGTATGATAGAGCTGAGACTTGTACCTGGTCTTCTAACCCCTCTCCTGTCCAAACTCATGTTTATAACCACTACTACAACTGCATCACTATTCCCAGTGGATTTTTAAGCCTGCGAACATTTCTGCAAGTGTCCACAGATCTATTTGATATTAACTTGAGTCAGTAATCTAAAGAAGTTTAGTAGAAGTACTGAAGGACCAGGTTTTCTTAGTATCAGATTTTAAATTTAGAGTGAGAACTAATAGATTTCTCTCCTATCCTTAGCTTTGTTTGTATTTGTGACATTATCTGTTTTGAGGAAAAAGGCTTTAATTACCATTAATGAATATTATCATTTTAAAAGGTCTTTTTATTTAGGAGCTTTAACCAAGTTTAATCTGCAGCAATACTGAGATCTTTGATTCCAAGTTTCAAGGGTAAATTTTCTAAGCTAAGGAACCAATTCCAACTTAATAGAAAATACCCTAACCTCAAGAGCATTAGCACACCAGGAAACTGACCTATAGGTTCCCTCAAGGTCATAAAGAAATCCAGCCCCAAGAAATAAGAGTTGTTTCCTTACTTCCCTTCTTAAGTCAAAGAGATCACAGCATCCCAGCGTTCCTTCTCCTTGCTGCCTGCAGTTATTCAAGTTCTGAAGCAGGCCTAGGGACAGCTAATCCTTAGTTAATGTGTTAATGACATTCCCAATGATGATGTTTAAAAAAAAAGTTGAAATACTAACTTTAGTTTTCTTTCCTAAGCTTCTGATTTAGGGGATGAGACTGGATACGCCACAATCCTCAGCCAGAAGCATCCTGACCTATATGTTCTATCAACTGGTTAAATCAGGATTACAGAATAAGAAAATGTAATACATACACCCTAGTGATTTTTCCTCTTTGATCATTGTCCTTAGCAGTATTACAAGGTGTTTTTAAGACATTTTCTTTGTAATGTAAGTAGTGATAGTAAGTTGGGAATGAGGTTCTCAGAAACAGTGTTTAACTTGTAAATAACCACTGAAGACACCTGTGCATGCTATTATCTCATAATTAGTTGGGCCTCCTGAGCTTATGCTATAGCTTGTTTTGATCACATACAGCAATTATTTATTTATAAATTTTAAAAACACTCCTTATTTCTGCCCTCCAGGGATTCCTTTCTCCATGCTTGTGTTTACAGGAGATTCATACACTTTACACCTTTCTTTGTTTAAAAATGCATATTAAAATGTAGCACATATAATAGACCTGACAATCAATCAGTCAACTAATATTTATTGAGCACTTGTTAATACCAATCCCTGGAAGCACTGTATTCAGAAGATGCCAGACATTGCACCCTGGCCCATGAGACCTGCTCTCTAGCACTGAGCAGCATTCCCCTGGGACTCTGACTACCTCAGTCAGCCAGCTGAGTGAAGCAGATTTGCAAGTGTCAGTCCAGCTGCTTTGTTGGCTTTGGTTTGCTACAATAGAAATGCCAGCATGTGTAATGTCTGCAAGTGGGACTTTCTGATGAAGGGAAGAAGATAGACCTGGAGCATAATCAGCCCATAGCCTGAACCATTGTGGGCCACTTGCCCAAGAGTGTTTTGTACTAAATGGGGTTAATCTTACTAAGCTTAAATGACCTTTCTTTGAATTATGCTTCTACTTTGTATGTTCAGTAAGTTGCTTTTCATTTCTTGTTTTTCAAGAGCACAATGGAAGTCACTGACTCAAATAAGACCACTTGCTTGTCTGACTTTAATACCTTTTCAAGAAATTCAGAACTCCTTGTTCTGTATTTCAGCAAATTTTCCAAGACATTTGCAAGGAAGGGAGGGGAGGTTGCTTATGTATCTGACAGAGAAAACAAAGCGGATAGGCTTGGTGGTTTTTTTTTGTTTTGGTTTTTTTTAATTGTGATTTGAGTAAAAGTTTACAAAGCAAATTCACTTTCCATACAGCATTTCATGTACACTGTCTCATGACATTGACTACAATTTACCACAATGCAACAGCACCCCTCCCACTTCCCCCTCATAGTCACCTCCTCTGTCCATCCCTCCATGCACTCCTGCCTACTGAGCTGCCTCTCTGTGCATACACAGCCCCTCTGTTCTCCCATGACTGCTCTTTCAAGGAGTGCATCCACCCAGTGCAAATGTTCACCCCATATACCTGTCCTCTACTTGGCTAGAAGCCACAGAAGTAGGTCCAATTCCAGACCTGAAGGGCAGCTGGGGGCCACAGTCTCAGTTGTTCCATCAGGCTCTATCAGACCAGAAAACCTGGTCCCTTTTTATTTTTTTTTCCAAATGATTTTGAGTTTTGTTCCACATTGTTCTCCCACTCTATCCAGGATCTCCTACATAGATCTCCCTCTGAGTTGTTGACAGTGGTAGGCAGGCACCATCTAGTTCTTCTGGTCTCATAGTCATATAGGCTGAGGATTACATGGTGTACCAGTCACTTGGACTAATTGTTTCCATGAGTCTTTGATTTTCTTCATTCTTCTTTGCACTGGGTGAGAAGAGACCCATCGTTGCATCTAGATGGCTGTTTGCAAGCTAGGCTTGGTATTTTTCCTTGCAGTGAAAGAGTAACTTGATCCTTAAGCTTAAGGTACTGACTGGCCTTGAGACTCTTAGCTCAGTAGTCTTTTTCTAGAACCAGGGGTTTCTAAAGAATTCAAATACTGTTACTCTAAGGAAGATTCTATTCCCATTCATGCCTGTCTGTCACTTACCTGTGAAATGCTAGAGTGAAGGAAGAAAATTTTGGAAGAGAAGGAAAGTATTACTAACTCAGGCATCTCCTTTTCTGGTCATACAAGCATTAATTTGGTCAAAGACAACAACAACAACAAAAAAACAAAACACCAAACTCATGCCATTGAGTCAATTCTGACTCAGAGCAACCCCCACAGCAACTCTCCTTGGGTTCCCAAGGCTGTAAAGCAGACTGCCCAGTTTTTCTTCCATGGAGCAGCTGTTGGGTTCAAACTATTGTCCTGGTTAGCAACCAACTTCCTTAGCCACTACATCACCAGAGCTCCTTGAAAGACAACATGTTAGTGGAGGACTTGCGGTAAGATGGAGGAATAGGCAGGCAAGCAATGCAGACCCTCTTCAACAAGGAAAAGAAAAACCAATTGACAGAGATACAGAACATAATCCTGGAGCCCTGAGCTTTGAAAAAAAGGAACTATACAGAAGTGGATTAGGTACCAACTAGTGAAAAAACCTAAATGAAAACAGGACCTAAGAATAGGTCTGTTTGCCAAGGCTGGCAGGGATATACGAGAGGCTCACAACAGGAAAGGAGACAGGTGGTAAATGTATAAGTGTTGTCAACTAGCAAATAGAGGAGCACAGTACCCTGCGTGCGTAGATAACATACAAACAAAACAAAGAAAATGAAAATTGTGGACAAGTCACTCCAACATACAATCACCAATTAAATATAAACATAAAAATGTCACAATACCTGGGAGACAACAGAGCATCACAGTCCACCCAAAGAAGCAAGATAAAGTAGGAGAAACAAGGGACCAGTATAGAGACCCAAAACACATCCTTGAGGAAGATGCAGCATTGCAACTCACTGATAAGGAATTCAAAGAATTATATTTAGGTATCTTCAGCGAACTGAGAGACAGATCAAGGAAAACACAGAGAAAATCCTAGAACAATTTCGAAAGACAATACAAGAACAAAATGACAAAATAAATGAAAAATTACAAGTGGTACAAAATCTACACATAGTAATCCAGAAGATTAATACTAAAGTTTCAGAAATAGATAAGACATTGACTGGGCGAAGGAGCAGAATTGAATCAATGGAAGACAGAATTAGAGAGATTGAAGGCAAATACCTGAACACTTCTTTGGAAAGAGATAAATCAGAAAAAAGATCAAAACAAAATGAAGAAAGCCTAATGTTCATGTGGGATACCATCAAAAGGAATAATCTGTGTGTAATCAGAATTCCAGAACAGGAAGAGACAAATAAAACCACAGAGAAAATTGTTGAAGACTTGTTGGAAGAGAATTTTCCTGGTATGATGAAAAACAAGGATATATCCATTCAGGAAGTCCAACGATCCCCAAACAGGATAGACCCCAAAATAAAATCACCAAAACATATCATCATCATACTTACCAAAACCAAAGACAAAGAATCATGAGAGCAGAATGAGAAAAACAAAAAGTTACCTACAAGGGGCAACCAGTAAGACTAAGCTTGGATTTCTCAACAGAAACCATGCAGGTAAGAAGACATTGGGATGGTATGTATAAAACCCTGAAAGAGAAAAATTTCCAAGAATTATGTACCCAGCAAAATTGTCCCTCAAATATGATGGTGAAATTAGGACATTTCCAGATAAGCAGAAATGAAGGGAATTTGTTAAAACC